GGGAGCCGCCATGGAGCGCGTAGAACCAGGCGCGACAGCGCGGGCAGGCGGCGCTGCGCATGCGCGAGACGAGCGCACCGCCCCTCCCTTCAAGCGCCGCTCTCCAAAATGGGAAGGGGGCGTGGACCGCTCTCCGCTGGGCGGAACTTCCTCGGGCCCCGCCCTCAGCCTCCCTGTGGCGCGGAGCCCTTCAGTCCTCCTTGACGCGTGTCCGGCAAACATCGCTTAAGCCTTTGACTAGCTGAGAGGGAGAGGTGACTTAGAGTCGCCCCTGGGCTTACCGGGCTTACCTGGCTGCGCAGGTCGGGGCGCGGTCCCAGCCGCTCGCTCTCGGGGGTGCCCTGAGTGCTCTTGGCTCTGAATCCCCACTCTGGAGCCTGGGCAGCACGCGGTCTCCCTGAGTGAAATTCGGGACGCCACTGGGACCGCCTTGGGTGACCCTGGTGACCCGGCACCCTTGGGGGCACACAGGACCCCAACGCGTGGGAGACCCCGAGATCTTGGAACCCTGAGACTCCAGAAGCCTGGAGGACCCAGACCTCAGACCCGTGGGGACCCCAAGACTCCAGATCCTGGAGGGGAGATCCAAGAACCCAGATCCCATGGAGACCCTGAGACTCCAGAACGTGGCAGGGAACCCAAGACCTCACCACTTCCCTACGGGCAAGCTGACTTCTCCAGTCCAGCTGGGAGACCCCAGGTCCCGCGATGTCCTTTGATCACAGGAGAGGCCCGGAGATCACAGTCCAGACAGCCACCGGGATGCAGATCCCAGTAGGGACCAGGGGCAGCGCTCCTGGTGGGTGCAGTGGGAAGCCCTGGGGGCTGGGGACCAGGTCCTTGATCTCCCAGCCATGAGCCCCCACTGTCCAATAGCACGGGGACCAGCCCTGTCCGGCCTCCTGTGTGGCTGCCGGGAGGAGGCTGCTCAGCACAGAAATGGCCTTGGACAGGGAAGGGCTTGTGTTGTGTTGATAAAGCGCCCTCTTTAATCTCCCCGAAACAAGCCTATAAACACACTGAGTTTATTAAAAAATGAACCAAGTGTGAAAAAACCTTTACCAATGAGTTGAATGCCCAGCTTGCTCCAGTGGAAACATCCCACTCTAGAAGAACAGCTAGCTGCCTTCAAGGCACTCCCCTTTTAGCCTGGTGCACTACCAGGTGCCCTTTGGTAGCCAGGCTGGGCCTTGCTTGGAAGTTTGCTGGCCACTAGCTAACTAGGGGGTCTTGAGCGGGTACTACTGCAACAGGATTCATTTTTCTGTTCCAGAAATTCTAGTTCTCTTTGTTGCATTTTGCCAATCCCCAGGGAATTTGTCTTGTCCTAAGCTTCGTTTCTATCAAGAGATAAAATTGGCACAATTGTGGTTGTAGACTGAGATAGCTTCCATTCTACACCCTAGGGTGGTGCTGTCACTGGGCAGAAACAGAATGGTGGGCTTAGGAGGGAATGAGGAGACAGAATGATAGGAAAAGGCTGGTTAACATCCATCACCCCAGTGTAAGAGTGAACACAGAGGGACTTCCTTATCTGCTGGCTTAAGTAGAATGGATGCGGATGCTTTCAGGAGGAGCAGATCTGTTTTGGAATCTGCTTCCTTGACTTTCAGGACGCTTTCAGGAGGAGCAGATCTGTTTTGGAATCTGCTTCCTTGACTTTCAGTTGGTGAGGCATTTAGCATGCACGGCATGTTGATTTGGTCTGCTCTGCTGGTCCTAGCGAGGGAGCTCAGTCCAAAACATTGGTCTCCCGTAATTTTTAACAATTTCCCCCCTTTGTTCACACCCTCACCCCAAACTTACGGCATCAGTGGCACCGTTTTGGGTTTCCGGTCTCAACACATGAGTCTTGAGAGGTATAAGTTTTCTGAGAGGAGCGTGGACATTCTGATTTATCCTTGGGAAAGTCATGTGGACAGGGAAGGAAACTGACAGAGCGGGTTGAGTGAAGAGGGGGCTTTAGTCACCTGAGACATTCTCATGAGGACAGAAGGTACAAAGCAAGTTTGGGCATATTAACATTTGTGAAAACAGGCCAGGTTTGTATTAAGAACAAAGGGAATAAAAATTAACTCAAGGGAACCTGGCTTTGCACGAATATGCTCTAGTTTATTTTTTTGTCATTGTGTTTCTCTTCAGCGTTTTTAATTAAATAATTCCAGTTAAAGAAAAGATCTGCTACCGTCTGAAACAGGGTCTCTTTGCCTCTTCCTGCTTTTCTCTCCGTAAAGCAGTCACCCACGATGCAGGGACCCAACACGAAGCCCTGTTAGATACGCTCGGGGCATAGGAAAAGGGGCACATATTGACTTCGGCTTCCAGAGATTCCCTCCCAACAACCTGGACAGGGCTTAGGGTGAGCACAGCCCCGCGAAGTGTGGGCAAACAAGTCGGATAAAAGGCTTGGCGCTTCAGAAGGAAAATGTGGCGCCCCTGAGCCTGAAGTTCCCTTAGAAGCTTCTATAAACAGTTAAGGCAGCGGTGGATCTGGGTTCCTAGGCGCTCAGGAACTTCAAAGGTGCCACGTGGACCCTGCAGGTTTTTAAGACACCAAACACAAAGAAAGGGCCAGAAGGAGGGGGCAGGGGGACTTGGCCAACATGCATTAAATGGAATAGAAAACTTTATTCTCTAGCAAAACTGTAGCTCTGTAGTGTTCTGTGTATTGAATCTTACATTTTTTGGAATAATAATAGCAAAATACTCCTTTAAAAAAAAACAAAGTTTTTCTGTGTTCCAAAATGAGCTTATTATTTAATGACATAGAATAACTAAAACCATTGCATTAGCAAACATCAAAACATTTTCAAACCAGAAAAACATGAACTGAGCTAAGTGAGTAGAGAGGGACCAAAAAGGCAGAAGTCACAAAAAACTGGAGAACTAATCGCAAGAAAAGGAGTTTTGAGTCATAGAAATACAAAATGGAATTTCAGAAACTGAGGAAGCAGATTTCCCATCCTAGCTAACTCAACTGTAAATTAAGATAAGCGACGCGTCACTGTGAGGGACGCCTTCCTTGGCTGGCCACTTCGTCACAGGGACAAGGTCCTTGGAGGTAATGGGGGACCTCAGCCCAACCCAGGCAGGTTCTTAAGGAGTCACTGCAGAGAGGGAATTCCATCTGTGCTGCTGAGGGGCACGGCCACCGTAGGAGGTGGAAACGCAGCAGGGCGCTCTGGGATGGTGCAGGGGTGGAAGCTCACCTTGGCCTGCGGCTGGGATAATTTTCTTGTGGGCTTGGAGCATCCTTAGGGCACACCATGAAGGATGCTGTGCCTAAAGACATTCTCTGAATCAGTTATCATTTACCTGGCTTTATTTTTAATTTTAGGTTTTATTTTTTTTTAAACCTTTCATCTGTAGGGGGTGAAAACAAAACCTGGTTTTATCAACTGTGCTAGAATACAAACCATCTATAGCGTTTGAAATTTAGAGGTATGGTACCCACTGATAGTTTTGTTTATGTATTTTTTCTTTTGAAAATGGAAGTGTTTGATATAATTTTTGGAATTCATGGACCCAGAGTATCTTTAAGATTCCTAGGAAGTTCAGATTGATGAGTCCTGAAAAGAAACACATCCTACTAGTAAAGGTGTGGGTAAAGGTGACTTTGATTATGTCTAAAGCTACATTTTCCCTAAAACTAACATTTCTTTCAAGATATAGTCTTCCTGTCTCCTTTCTCCCTACTTTGATTTCTTCTGTCCTTCGTTAATTTCGCTTCAGTTCCAAGATACATGGCCCATAGTCTTTACTGCGGTAGGATCGATGTGAAACTCATTTAGAAAACCTAAAATGATGACACCTTTATGAGCTGAATACATGGAAACTGTCAGACAGATTGCCAGGTTCTGAGTTTACTGGAAATGCTAGTCAAAGAACACTGTCAGTTTTGGTTACCCATGCAGTTAGCTCTTTCCCTCCTTGCTTTCTTCCTGCACACAGGACATCCCTTTCCCGCATTTATTCCACAGATGTTTGCTTCTCATCTCCTGTGGTTCAGGCACCAGAGAAGGACCTACAGACACAGCCCGGAACCAAGTAGACGAGGTCCCTGTCTTTACTCAAGGGAGAAGAATCACCCTTACAAAGCAGGCTGTTCAAAAGAATTTCCTGAGGCCTAAAGCAATTGTTCCCTCTTATTCTGATACAAAACCAAATGGCCACAAATCCTTTCTGGAAACCAAGTGATAAACGTAGACAGTGTCCCCCGGTAGAAAATTCTTCCAATATATTGTTAAACTGGAAAAAGTAGGCCACCAAAATAAGGGTGGTATGACCTTACATGTTTGAAAAATTCACTGTTCAGACCCATATTCAAGCCAGGACAGTTGCTGCAGTTCGGCTGTTGGAAAATGACCACCGCCCCGAACCTCCCTCGGGTTTGCTGCTCCAGCCACTGAAGGGTGAAAACAGCCTCTGCTTGTGGTCCCTCTGATCTCTTCCTGTGCCACACTCGCTGTGAAGTGTTTTTTAACATTATCCCTGTTTTTATTGCAGAGCCAGTATTTTTCCTAGTACAAAAAATGAATGCAACCATTCTTATCTCCTATTTTTAATTTTTTATATTAAAAAT